AAAGCTGGGTCAGCAAGTCGGGGGCAAGGTGTACCGTCTGGAGACGATGCGTCGCGATCTGCAGCTGCGTGTGCTTCACGGAAACCAGCTAAACTTTTTGTCGCATGTGCAAGCCATTGTGGACACGCAGCGGGTGATGCGTCAGGCGAATGGGGAGCGTGTGCACATGATGGTCTTTTGTGACACCGTGAACGAGGTGAAGCTGCTGTGTGACCAGCTGCACGCACGCGGCTACGTGGCCTTGCCCTACTACACCGACCTGGAGGAGAAGGCGCAAAAGGACCATGTGGCACAGTGGCAACGGGGTGAATGCGACGTCATTGTGGCCACCAGCTGCCTCAGCACGGGTGTGGATCTGCTCACCATTCGCCACGTGCTGTGGTATGGCAATGGCTACAACGTCTATACGCTGGCCCAGGTACGTTGTTGCTCAAACACAGTCGTGTGACTTTATGGAGTTGAAAACAAAAAAAAAAATAAAAAAAATTCAATTGTTGGTTTTGCTGATGGTGTACATGTGCTCGGGCTAGGCATTTGGTCGGGCTGGTCGCGATAAACAGGGAGGAACTGCCGAGCTGTGGCTACCAGTGAGACGTGGGCCAGCACCAGGCATGGAAAAGTTTGTCGAGGGCAATGCGTGCCGCAGCTGGGCGCTCGGCAAGTTGCTAGATCCCCGCGCCGCGACATGCTTTGCTGCCGGCCAGCCGCTTTGTGACGTGTGCGCAGGAACAGCACAGCGCCTGGAGCCAGCAATAGCTGCGCGCCAGCAGCGCGCTGCCCAAGCGTTGAGTGTGGGGCATGTGGAGGCAGAGCCCGAGGCGATGGCGGAGGAGGAAGATGTGTTGTCTGAGCCACCTGCAGCACGGCTCGAGGAAGAAGAATCGATCGGGCCAGGGTCCACCTTGGATGTAACTTTAGCATCAAACGTCGAAACAGCAGCATCATCAGGACCAGGTGCCGTTGCAGCGCAGTCGAGCAGAAGCACTCCACGTGCCCAGGACACGGCTGTGGTGGCGACAAATGGAGGGCCAATGACGGATGCTGCTGTGCCACGGATACAGACGAGTGATGCTTGGATTGATGAGGCAGATACAGCATCCATGTCGGTGCCAGCTTCACCCATGGTCTCTGATGCTGATGACGAGGCGCCTTTACAGCAAGAGGCGCACGGCCCGGAGCAAACCAAGTTGGCAGAGGGCGAGAGCACGCCACAGCCAGTCATGCAGTCAGCAGCACAGCCAACACCCACGAAACACACGCCAACCCCGTCGGCCTCGATCATTTGCGTGCCAGTACCATCGGTCTCGGGTTCAACCTCGTCTCCGGCGCGATCGGCTGCAAGCTCAGCCTCGGGTACAC